CCCCCCCCATAGCCATAGCTCTCCCTGGGTTACCCTGGTCCGCCCCCTACTACTCTGTGAGGGGGTCAAAGCCTTTCAGTATTTAGGTCAGTCCTTAATAGGGCTTGGTGAACAGCCAGTGCTGTTTCAGCTGAGGGAGACTGTGTCTGTTCTGGGAGCCACTGAGTCACTTTTGGGCCTTTCTGATGGAAATCACCTGCAAGCAGGCAGCCTGGACCACAGCACTAACAAAGGATCCAGGCCTCATCGCCCCTGCTGCGGTTGTCTGGGAAACTGCAGTTCAGCTTTCCACTCAGGGTGGCTGATGGTACCTCAGATTGTAAAAAAATCAATCGTCACCAGGTACCGTTGCATCGATTAAATGCATATGAGGCTATGTATCTGCATCTGAGGCACAGAGACACGGAAAGTGACACTGGATTATCCAGAATTTCAGATCTCCATCAGCAAATGATCGGTGGAACGCATTTGGCGCTCTAAGTCTTTGTTTCTAAACACTAAATCGTGTAAAATCATCAGCAGAGTATTTGTTAAGCGTTTTCTATAACGTCATTGGATCAAACATAATCCAAGTTCATTTATCAAATGCACAACAGTACAAAATACAGCAGGCAATGAAATGAGTTTCTCTGACAGCTCCCTGTAGTAAAGTCATAACAGACAGAAATTAATAAAGAATAGAATAGAATAGAATAGAATAGAATAGAATAGAATATTGCAAAATGCGCAGAGTCCATACTAATCAGCTGCTGAGTAGCCTTAGTGCCTCAGGGCAGAAGCTGCTGTGGAGCCGTTTACCTGAGAGCAGCAGCGAAAACGGTTTGTTGCTTGACGACCGACTTGGCTTTCTTAGGCCAGCTACTTATTTAGATGTCCTGGATGTCAGGAAGATCACAACCAGCGATAGCCTGTCCTGTCTCTCACCACCCTCATTGTCTCTATCCCTCCACAGTTAGAAAAAAAAAAATCTATGGTCATTTCAGTTAATCAGTCACAAAAAGAACCTTCCCATAGAATAGAGTCTCAGTCTATAAAGGACCCAGATGTTAGGTGTAGTTTCCGTTTGATGAGGTCAGGAACGATCGTTCACGGGGGTATATCTGACGCTGTGACAATTTTGTTTGTGGCCTCTTTTACAGAGTGCCGAGGCCCTGTCTGACAAAGGGCAGTTTTCCAAAAGGTACTGGACTCATTCAGAGAGTTATGGGCCCCAGTTGAGCAAACTGAAAGCTGCCACCCTCTTGACGGACTTACGCCAGTGGAGAAACTGGGCTGCCCCCAAGCAAATTTCAGGGCAGTTGTCTGATGTGCAAAAATAACAGGAGAAGTAAAAGACCGAAACAGATCTCGGTGCAGAATAAGGAACAAAGATGATGTAAATGCACAACCCCAGGATAAGGAGAGAGGGTTAGTGGTCAGCATGATTTCACTATCAGCGGTACATTTACTCTCGCTGAACCACGTCACGCCTTCCTGGTCCTCTCATACCTCTGTGTGTGTCTGCTATATGTGCCCATATGAAACTGTTCAGTCTGCTGTAAATTCTCCACTTGCAATTAGCACAGTGTGTTCGTTGCGATTGGTGCTGCTTCGTGTCTAAGCTGTGCTCTCGCTGCAGTGGGAGGCGTCACGCTCTGCAGCGTCCCGTTAAAAGGACGTGATGCAACACTGCGTTAAACGAGGGTGAAAACTAAGAAACGCGAAAAGAGGAAGTGATTTAATGATACAAGAGTCTCAAAATGCCGGAACTTAAATATGTAACTTTCCTAAATCTTTATTTTCATCAGGAGTTTGTTTTTGTAATGTAAGAGAATTTCCCCACGGGGATTAATAAAGTAATTCTGATTCTGTTGTTTGCAGACTGATCTGGGTAAAACTGGCTGGAATCGGCCATCCCTCACATGTCCTGACATGCCCCTGCATGTCTGTGAGTGACGCCCTGTGAGATTAACGGTACACAGACATGTGGAGCCAGCAGCCGGAGTTCCAGCTTCCTTTAGTGCAGTGTTTCTCAATCTCCCTAGACGGTCTTAGTTTTTTGATCCTAGGAGGAAGCGAAAATTTTGACTGTTTAGTATGGAGCTGGGAGGGAGCAAAAACATGGACCGTCTGAGGGTCCCTGAAGATGGATTTGAGAAACATTGCTTTTGTGAGCCTTTGGCTGTCAATGTCACTTGCCAATAGACTTGCCCACACAGATTTCGTATCCGGCCTTTTAGGAGTCTGCCAGCGGACCTCAAATAGTAACTTTAGCTGCGTGACGCAGAGTTGAGACAGGCTTTATGTAGAGTTTTCACTTGATAACTGGCAGTCGGTGACAAGACTGGGAATAGTAATCTGGAAGGGGGGGGTCGGTGTTGATTGTTCTCATATTTAACAATGATCCATTTGAGCAGGCTGGCAGTAGTTCTGGCACCTTCTGTGTGGGGATTCCTCCTCCTATTTCATCACCATGATGTAAAACAAACACTGTCATCTGTTTGCATTACGAAGGAACAACGATGGCTAAGCTACCTGACAGGACATTTCACAGGGTGCCAGCCACACACACGCTCAGTCTGTCACATGGACATACATGGACATACTCAGCTATTTATCTGGCTAGTAAGTGTGTACTTCAGCTGAAAAAAAAAATACAATCTAAATTAACAATAGAAAATAAATAAACAAGTGAACAATAAAAGAATAACAAGAATTTCTTCTGTTCTCCAAAACGTTATCTTGTTGGTTGGTAAAACTCTGTTTGGTTCCCAAACCTCTCAGAAAACTCAGCCATTCCATGTATTTGACTTTAACAGATGTAATCTCATAGTTTTACACTAATGTGAAAACCATTTGAACATCATTTTCTTTGACTGCCTTTTGCATTGTAATGTATATACTGTATGCCTGTAGATATTTTTCTGTGTGTAATCATACATATATTATTATCTACACATGCAGAAACACACACACACACACACACACAGCTTGATAGATAGGGTGATGCATCCTCTAACTGCTCAGATAAGGGTAGCTTCTCCTGTCCCTGCCTGCATGCGCACTAGTAATCAACACACCTAGGGATTCACGTCATAACAGGCACACTGCAGACTCAGCAACGTCCACCTACCCAGCATTCTGACACATTGCCGTGTGCTGATGCAGCCCAACGGCGCTCATGTTCTCCCCACGCCACCCGCTGACATCCATCTGGCCGTACCTTCCTGGTACCGGGTCTCCCAGAACCGCAGATACAGTGGCTGAGGGCGTCCACCAGTGGGGATGACATCACAGACGCCGAGGTGCACAATCCTGGAAGCATTCTGTGCTACGGAGAGGGCCAGCACTGCCCTGTAAAGGCCGTTGAAACATTGTCTTGACATATATCACATTAAGTGGAGAGTTTAACATGTATGTCTTACGTTACGACAGTCCCCAGGTTACGAACGGGATTGAACGAAGTTGAATTTGTAGGTAAGGTAAAAAACAATAATACAGTACATGATAATTATAATAATTATACAGTAATAATAAAAGTAGATAAATACAGTACTGCACTGTACCTCAGGCCGACATTTTCACGAGCGTCACGAAGTAGTGCGTACGTTCGTTATTACGAACCATCGTATTCCACCTGAATTTTTTGTATAATAGGCTTTATGGCAGTCCGTTCATAAGTACGACTTGTTCGAAGTCAGATGTTCTTAACCCAAGGACTACCCAGTGGGTAGCAATGGCAGGTTTCCACCTTTGTGTGTCTGGAGTTTGCATGTTCATGTTTACACGGGTTTTTCCTGGATTCTTCCCATTGTGCAAAGAGATGCTGTCAGGATAATCAGTCTGTCTAATTTGCCTGTAGTGTGTGAGTGCTTGTGCATCTATGTTTGCCTTGAAATGGCCTGATATCCCACCCAGGGAGTTCCCCGTTTTGTAGTCTTTGCTTCTAGGAACAGGCTCGTTGCAACCCTGCATTGGGTCGGTGGTTCTGGAAAATGGATGCGTGGAACTTTTTTATATATATATATATACCGTACCAGCCCCTTATGGTAATTATTTAATGTTTTTGTGGCGACACTTTACTCGACGGGACACAAATAACTCAGTTACTACTGAAGTACAAATTATGAACAAGTCATGAACGAATATAATTGCTACTTGATTTAAAAGATGCGTCGCGATTCATTAATGACGAACAAACACAAGATCAGTATTTCACTTGTGTTATTCATGACTTGTTGCTTCAGTAGTTCATAAAAGTTTACAGAAATAACCGATATAGTAACAAATATAGTAACTGCTTGGGATAAAACATTATTCCATTAATGGTCAATTAACATGAGATCAATATGTAGTTATGACTTATGACTACTGACAGTTTGTGGTTAATTAATACATAAGTAGTATGCTATATTATTTGTGCCCCATCTAGTAAAGTGTTACCGTTTTTGGAGATGCCAAGGTTTGATCGTTTTATCTTCCCTCAGACTGTCCCTCACCAAGCATGAGATGTGCAGTGCATCCACCTGAAAATGCTTAGGTGTCAATCAGGTAACCGAGCAGTGATTCCGCAGCTCTATGGAGGGTGTAATTAGGAGCTTTGAAGAATGAGCAGACTTGCAAATGGTAACGTGAGGATGGCAGATTGACGCGCCACCCCCCCCCCCCCCCCCGGTTTTTTACTGGTTGCCTTCAGTAAAATATACACCAATAACTATTAGCAAGTATTAAATTGTGTGCTTTGTAAATTAGCTCGGATAATAAGGTGAATTAAGTACATCAGCCTTGTTCTTATGTTATCCAAAATATATCTCCGTTACAGACTAACGTAGATCTTTGCCGTCTTCCCCAGGAAGTGCAGAACACAAAGCAGGGGCTCCCTGGGCGGGACGCCAAGGAACAAAGGCTAACTGTCATTAGAACCACAGAAGATAATACAGAGACGGCCATATGTTTGATGGACCTGTTTGGAGCCCTCATTGGTGGCAAACGTGCAAGGCCTGGCTCCGTGATATCGCAGCCTGTTCTCAGAGCGAGGACTATAATAGGATGGGTGTTGATAGTGACTGTGGTGTGGGGCTGGCAGCCTTCACTGATAAGCAGGCAGACACACGAGTGTGAAATGTGCAGGATCCCAGCGCTCTGCTGGTGGGCAGATTAGATCCCAAATGCAAACATTGCTTCACTGTTATTCCGCCCGACCAAAACAACGCAGAGCGCCAATGAGAAAGACGAGCTGAGTCATTAGCACCAAGAGGGTAACAGATAACTGAAATAAGGACATTAGACACAGATGTAAGCGAGTAGAGCAGCATAATTCTTCACCTCCCTATAATCTGAATCTGCTCATTTGTCTTGTCTAGTTTTGAGGGATCCACTAAAACCTCCAGCAGATGGCTGAGAACATTTATGATTCAGTTTAGTATTTATGTAGCTTATTCCAAATGTTGCCTGACTCACTTGAAGGGTATCTGGCATCTTTGCCGTGTCAATTTGCGAGTCATTTTTTGTGGTCACCACTTTAATACACTTCAATTTCATTTCTTGTAAAAGTAATAAAATTAGCTGGAGACTAGTTTAATGACATTTACATGCTGTGACTGGGGGTTGTCAGTAAATGTATTTGTTACATCAGGTTATGTTTTAGTTGCCATAGTAACCTGTTTTTTTCCCCCCCAGTTTCTTTACATAAGGAATATGGATCACAGTTTCTAATATTTTAAGAAAAGTCCTATCAGAAACCCTTGACAAATTACAGTAGCCCAATAGATAAAGTTACGTTTAGCTGAGGGACATTCAGGGGTCTGCAGGGACACTCCATAAACTGTAAACATAAAGTGAGTAATGACATACCCACGTCCAGTACGTGCAGGTCAGTATCGATGCATATCACAGGATGAATTTAACTAGCACAAGGTGGATCATCTTGATCATAAAGTTTTATTGTTTTAAAATTAAACTTGTCAAGTACAAAACTGTACACTCTGTACATGAACGCACCCACAAAACAAAAATGTACATAATGCATCACTCGCAATTCATCGTGTAGAAATTCTACATTTTATAAAGAAAACAAAACAATAAAACAGTACATGAAATCAGCTGCTCAACAGCTCAGTCAAAGAGAGATTAGATAGGCGGGACGTCACGATCCCAGCATGGGTTTCACGAGTTTCGGCACCATGGTGTTTCACAATCCAGCCCCCACCATAGCCCACTCCCCACAGGCAATACTTTCCAACTGGGGATTTCTACCACTCAAAGGCTTTCAATACAGGAGATCTTCAAAAACGATTTCTCTGAGGAAGGCGGCATTAAAATATGTAAACAGTGGCAATTTCATCCAAAACACAGATTACTGGCAGTAGCCATTTTGGACTGTACCACGTTACATGACTGGGATCCTCTTTGGTTAAACCTGGTGAGAAGGGGTGGAGAAGCTTTACGGCTCGTTCTCCATCATCAGGGGTCTGGTGTCAGGGAAAGGGGTGGGGGGGGGGATTTAAGGCCAACAATGCCAGTCAGTCATCTTATGTTACACTCCTCAGTAGCTGGAGTCACATTATTGCACTGTAGTATCAATAACAAAAACATTAGTATCACCCCCCCCCCCCAAACACCTGGCAGAAGCACTAGGGTGTTTTTGAAAAGAAAGAAGAAAAAAAACAGCACCCAGGCCCAAAACTAAAGCTGTAGGCAGTGCAAAGAACAGCCAAGGTGGGGACTACAGATAAGTCAGCCTCTCTGTCAGGTCCCAGTCACTTACAGCTAAAAACGCTGGACTTAGTGCATTTTCATTGCCCTGCTCTTCGCAAACATCAGTGGGGCAGGATGAACAAGAGCTTAAAAAGTTTAAATAGTACGCAATAAATGCGCCGAGTTGTGCCTGATGGTGGACGAGGAGGAGGAGGAAGGTAGGATGCCGTCTAGTGACCTGCAAAGCCTTGCTGGGACAGTGGGATACCACCCTTCCTCCCTCCCTAACTGGAGACTGTCATCAGGTAATTTTTTGGCGGGCTGGTACGGCCCATGAGGAAGCTGTTCTGGCAGAACCGGGGCCCGTGGGCAGAACTGTTGGGCCCAAGGGCCTGGGTGGGCCCCGCTTCGTAGAGTACACAGATGGAGCCATCTTCACCGATACGGTACGACACGTCGAACGGGTCCACCCAGAGGGTCAGCTCACGGGGCAAGAGCTGGAACAGCTGAGGGCCACTCAGGCCTACCCTGCCAGCCGCCCGGCCCACTAGGGGGTCCATCTCGTGGTTCATCCGAATGCAGCGATACCCCGAGCCCTTCTGGGGTCTGTCTGGGAACCAGTGGTGCTCATAGTGCTCTAGGGGAGATAAGGCAGATTGTTAAACCAGGACAAGTGTCCCCTCCCCCTCTCTACTAGCCACACAGTCACACATGTATCTCATTGTCATGACAAATGCAGCTTTGCCAAAAGACAGGAAAAGTGACGACAATAAACTGCTTCAACGCTGATGAAACGTGCGTGAAAGACCGCTCTGAATAATTGTAAGAACTCGTTTCAAGAGTTAACACGCTGGCGATTTTGCCAAGTAGTGCGGGCTTGTCTAGACTTGGCCCATTAATTGCCAGAAACAGTCATGGCGTAAAGAACACCGTGACTGTTGGTGAAGTTTAACTCAAGTCTAGCAATCCTGAACAATCACGTTACAATAGCTACTTATTGTATTCAACAATACGTAATAAGCAGATAAACACTGCTGAACAGCGGGAAACGAGTACACTTTACAATCTAATAATTAAAACGACTGTAATTAGTATTATTATACTATAATACATGTCCCCGCCTAGATCTGGGGTACACGTTTCGATGTAGTAAGTTAGACTCAGCCCCCCCCTCCCTCCCTCCCACCAAGATATTAACAGATTCGCCTTTCCCTCAAGGAAAAAACGAGATTCTGTTAATCGAGAGACTGTATAAAACTACCTGTCAGTGATTGTCGCAGGCAGTCGTTAAAGACCCGAAGCTGCTGCTCGCTGAGGGATCCGGTCGTCGCCAGCAGTCTGGAAATAAAAGCTGCCGCTGCCGTCACTTCGGGGCCCATGTCCACACCCGGACCGCTCTGGTTAACAGCTGGTACAGTTTGCGGAGAGGTATGGGGTTGAAAAGGGCAGAATCAGGCCGACTGACGGCTGCAGTCAGCTGGCGTTGGTGATGGAAAAAAGGGGCAGCAAAGGGCTGGTAATCTTGCAGATAAGGAGGTGATGTCCCACAACGATGAGGCTGAGATCCAGTTCAGATGCCTAAGAACTCGTCTGCTGCCCGGGTGCGGAGGATCTCAGAAAAAGACTAAGAAAAAAATCCTCCAGCTGGTTCGTACTGCTCTGCCGTGGACTCCTTTTATGAGTGATACACAAAGGAATGACGCCATCGCCACGCCTCCTCGATTGACACGAGCGATCAACCAATGAGAGCGTTTAGAAGGCCTCGCGACTACGCCGAAGAGGGGAAAAAAAAAAACACGCAAGAGCTGAAGCATTTTTCGGGGTTACTATGCAAATTCAGCTACGCCGTCCAATCTTAGAAATACTGACGTCAGAGCCGAAACTTCTGACGACAGAACAGGTCCGATGTTTGTTCGGTACATGCTGGGACATTTCACTTATTATGATGTCACAGCCTGGACATGAAGATTACTCTAACAAGCAAAAATATATACTTATGATTATTGTAAATCTTATCTATATAAACGTTTTTAAAACGACCGTTCAGCGGAAGGTTTGATGCAAACAGCTGATGTCGAGTTATCCAAAACAATGAGTACAGTACTCTTAAAACCATTTTAAAAAGACTACCAGTTTCTTGGTTCCGTCTGTAAAAGCATTCAATGGATTTAAGAAGTGAAAAACTACGACACTGCAGTAAAAATAAAACAATGTTCTTTTTTTGTAGGTTTACAAAGAAGCACATTTTAATAAAACAAGCTATTTGGGATCAGTTGTGGGTTATTAAGTTTACGATGTGCAGAAACATTTTCAAAAAATGTTTACTTACACTATAATCCCGTTTTATGACAGGATAACAGTCTGCCCATTTCCGAAACTAACACGTTTTCCTTAAATATTCAGAGAGAGCAGACAGTCACCGAGGTGTAGGTGATTTGTGAATTTAAAAAGAAGTTGTTGAACCCAAATAAGAGACGGAGACAATTGAGTTTCGGCTCGTCTATGGCGAACGGTTTCTTGCTTTCATCTTCACAGCTTGAATAAAGATGGAATTAGCAACTTTTTAAAGAGGCTACGCCCCGGGCCTCATTTATTTACGTGCACAATACTGTATTAGGCCACACCGAGAAACCTCTGAAAGAAGGGACAACTGTACACAAACTGTTATTTTGACCACTACTATGATCTAAGAAACAGAATGGAATATATATATATATATATGCTTTTAACGTAATTTTAGATGATTATGATGATGATTATAATAATAATTATTATTATTATTAGTCTGTCAGCTACAGTTATTTGATTTACGCCGTTGTTTCTTTGTATTGTGCTCACTGACACCACGAATATATGTCCGTATCAGGTGATATGCCCAGACTGACGACGCTGTGGAGACACCAAGTGGACAAACATTGAACAATGAATTGTATTTTTTTAAGGAGCTACATAATATATAAATACACTTTTCATGCTCTTCGGTGAGGAAAAAAACAGCAGTCTTTTCTGTTCACTATTTGCTCCAATTTATGGTAATGCATGCTTCATGTATGATTTGTGCAGTGTAATGCAGTGTTATACATGATTTTTTTCCGTTTGTCTTACACCTAATGTCACGAACTGACCACTAGAGGGCTCACCAATCATCTGAGTAAAGGGTATCTTAACACCCTGCGCATTTACCGTCAGAAAGCAGGTATGTGTCTTTTCACAAGGTCCCTGATTACGCCGTGACGTGTTAGCGGAGGTGATGGATAAATTAGATGCATATGGCAATAAACCAGGACGGGGGTCCTATGCTTAAATGCAATGAGTGAACCTGTTTTAGCCTTTGTTTTTCCCTTTAGGATACTATTATGGATGTTGTTTATAGGTGGAGTCCAGCTGTTTATAAAAAGTGCTGCTTTGATTAGGATGTCATTATACCTGGTGTTAAATATTTATGAGCCAAAAAGAAAATGACAGAGCCACAGACACAGCAGCCCTTGGGGGAGGTGGGTGCCTGAGCCCTAACAGGACCTCCCAGGGTGGAGAGAGACAGGAGTGTCCTCAGCCGAAGAGAGTGGACAACTGTAGCAGGAAAGGTCAGCAACAGAACTCGCCTCCTAGCAGGATGGAGTCTCGAGCTGGATGAGGGAGCAGATGAAGGAAGGTTCAATTCAGTTTATTTTTATATAGCGCCTTTCACAACAGAGCGGCCACCAAGGCGTTTTAAATGGGTATAGCGTGATACATTACAACAGCAAAAGAAAGAAAGAAAGAAAGAAAGATAGCTGAGGACAGGAACCAATAACTCCCAAGTAGGGAGAGAAAAAAACCTCAGGGGGTTGAAGGTCAACTGGGTGCCCAACCCCCTGGGCATGATAACATTATAGAAAAAGAAAGAGTGGGCTTGCTTGCTAAAAGCTACATATAAACTGTGGTCAAGGTCAAAGCCAAAGTCCATCAATGAGGCAGTTCTGCACGCTGGCCTGTGTAGGGAGGCAGATTGAAGGCTGGACCTGTGATGTTATAATTCGGAAGTCGCATCCACAAGGTCACTCCTCCATGGGACTGAAGCAGGACTCCAGCTCAGATGGTGCCCAGCATCATCTGGAGAAGGTAGGATTGGTCCCTCTTGCTCCCTCTCTCTTACTCTCTCTCCCCACTTTTCACTCTCCTTTCTGATGGCTCATCAGTTCATCTTGTCCTTCTTTTCCATCACACAGCAGGCAGCAGCCCCCAGTCCTCAAGACTCAAGCCTCAGCTTCTCACCCACTCTTCCCAAAACACAAAATGGCCAAAGAGTCCCCCCCCACACACAACGCAACCATGCTGTCCAGCTATGAGCTGATTATAGTGTCCAGTCGCACAATAACTGATCATGTGGTCATGAGTGTGTTCCCAAAGGACTATTTTCCCAGCTTCAGAAGGATATGTACAAGACAAATGAAGCTGGTTCCACCAGAACTTGAGACATGGACTGTATTCTGCTTTTCTGCAGACAAAAAGATGCCAACAGTATTCATCTGCCAGTAAAAGAAGACAACTCAACGTATAGGAAGTTAGGGTTATGACTCATGTTTGACAGTTTGAATTATCAGCTTTGACCAATATCTAAGAGCTAATGCTTCTAGAGGTACTTTAATATCCCTTGGTGAGAACACTCTGAAAGTAGCAGTCGGATTTCTGCTCGCAAATAATTTTCAGTACACTGCAAACCCTGTTATCTATCCCAGGGCTGCAGTGAAACTGGAACCAGTACCAGCCAGCACAGTGCACAGGGCTGAGGGAAGACCCTAGATGGGATGCCAGTCCATCACTGGGGAACCTCGTCCTTTGCTTTGATGCTTTCTCCCTACACCTCAGCAAAAGCCATCTACAGTTGGTGTTTACCTGCTGAACTTGTTTTCTTTCCGCAAAAAGTCAAGTTTAATGCTCTTCCTGACCACAAGCAGTGTTGTCATCCTCAGAAAGATCTTAAACCTCCCCTGGGAGTTATGCACAAGCCCTTCTGAGGAATTGCGCCTCTGTAATTCACTTTGGCTCCCATTTTAATGAGGATAAATTGCTTGAGTCTTTGCTATTAAGTGTCGCTTCCCTGTGCATTCTGTTGTCTTAGCTGGTCTGTTCATTTTTTTTCTGCCTGTGTAGCTCACATTCTGGCAGTTCATCAAGTCCTGTTCTCTGGCCAACAGTCATCTGGGACGTGTGAAGATCTCCCACCGGAAAAAAATGTCTTCCTTTTAGCAGCCAGCTTGGCCGTGGTCCTCTGAGTAGCACGTCGAGTTATTTTTTGCCGTAGTTCAGACGGTGACGGCCGCTGGTGAAATTACACCTGTGTTGGTGGCAACAGTTAAGCTTCTGACGAGCCCTGCTTCATACAGACAGTGTCTGAAATACCCAAAAAAAGACCTAGGGGAAGATGAGCTTGATTTTATAAACACAGCTTTATGAGGACAGAAAAAAGACGTTCCATCCCAAAGTATCCTTCAGCAATTCATACTTTCCAATTAATTCAACAACAAGCAGGAGAGAAAAATACTTAGGAGCAATTTACTATTTACAAGCGTTGATATTACAATTTTGGTCAAACAATAGAGATCAATTAAACTTTTATTTAGTTGTATAAACTAGAATTGGAAAGTAATTGTTGCTATAATTAATTATATGTGTATGACATTAATGTTCAGTATGTGAATCACCATGTTGTTAAATTACCAAAAGTAGAAGTTTTTCTAATAATGCTATGAAGTATTGCAATATGCAACTTGAACTAAATATAAAATATAATAAAGCAAAATCATTTAGACAGATTGAGCTTCAATTTTCCAAGCTCCTTGCCATAATTTATACCATCACAGCAGGGACCTGCTGAATGATAAACTCTGTGAATGTGATTCAGACTGGTATTTCTGCACACAGATTATGTTATAGTGTTTAAAACCCTCTGTAACTGCAATCCCATCATTCTTGCAAGAGCCTCACAAGATTATCATACCCTGCTCACCCCTAACAAGTGCATATATATAGTAATACGGCAAAGCATAATACGTGTAATATGCTACTTCGTGATACTTAAAGGAGAGTTTAGAATAGAGCAGTAATGTTGTAATGCAGATTATGCATGTGAATCAGCAGCGTGTGTTTGCGAAGACCAGGTGTGTGTGTGTGTGTGTGTGTGTGTGTGTGTGTGTGTGTGTGTGGATCAGCTGTCAGCACCACACGCCTCTGTCTCCTGTGTCTCCCTCCTTCTCGCTCGCTCTCACTCGCTCTCTCTTTCTTTCTCTCTCTCCCCACCTCCTCGCTAGACTGCACACCGCCCACTGCTCCAGATTCATGACAGTCACACACACATCAGCAGCATCAGTATCTCACACGCGCGCACACACACGCGCACGCACGCGCACACACACACAAAATACATTAGTAGTGCTAATAGCTTGCACTATTCTTCATATACACATGCAGGAAGCTCACACTTACCCACAATTTAAACAAAGTCATACATGCAAAGCCACACACTAAACACAGATACCCAAATAAGACATCCCCAAAATAATCACACACACACAACCATACACTAAACACAGACATGCATACACACTCAGTGTGTACAGTTCTTAACAAAAGTCATACACATACAGACATACTTAACCGCACAATCAAATTACACACACCTGACAGCGATTCACACACCTAAAACGCGCAGTTAACACTGCATTTCCTCCTACATTGCAGCTGGAAGGAAGCATCTGGCTGCAAACGAGCTTTATTCACAGCCTGAGTGACTCACTCATAAAGGATTGTCTCTTGAAACACGCACACACACCCTGATACAGACACACCGTCACACACAGGGAAATGGCCGGCTCTTCCACATATCACATGTTGAGTACATGTAGGGTGTCGTCGTGTCACACACGCCGACGGGGTGCAGGAGCGTACAGCGCACTCGCTGTCTGAGAGCTTGTCCAGGGACTATTCTGCTCCACCATTTCTAGAAAATGCAAAAATACCAGTGAAAATATCAGTGAAGGAGTGGAGAGAGAGACAAAAGCGAAAAGGGGAAGGTAATGAGGAAAGGAGGAATGGCTTCCTGAAGGGAGGAGGATGGGGGGAGAGAAAAACAGTTTACATAAAAATTACAAGTATCTCCCTTCATCCTGTGAAAGTCGTGACACACTATTCTTTTATCAAACCCAAGCGGAAGGTGCTCCATCCCAGGATTGGCCAACCGCCGGCGGCAGGTGACCAATGGCGGGAGAGGAGGGGGGCAACCCGTCTCAGCTGGGCTTCTCTGCATGAGCAAGGCGAGCTGGCTGGGGGGGGGGGGGGGGGTGGAGCTAGCCAGGCTCTGAGGAGGAGAGGGAGAAGGAGAGAGAGCGAGAGGGAGCAGAGATTTCCCTAGTGCCGCTGACAGCCGCACTGACTGGGCTGTTCTGCTACATCCACGGTGCCTGGACTGCAAACGCACACAGCCGGGCTGCTGCATCCACGCCGGCTGCGCAGCCACTCCTGCGGCTCCCAGGCTGCGCACCACCCAGGAGGACATCTGTATCCGAAGCATCTGGGCTACGTCCACCACACCTGGATCATTCCCACGGCAACCGGGCTGCTCCTCGCTCAGGGAGCGGGCTCCTGCTTCGGGGACGTCCCATGCCAGCGTACTCCTCTCCTGGCCCCTGGCACCAGCCGACTCTCTTCCTCCTCTTCGTCCTCATCTTCCTGGACCCCTGTGTGCACAGACTCCCAGAAGCCCCTGCTCCCGCCTACCGTGGGAATGGGCTGCCGGCTCTCTGGGCTGTGGCTCGGAGACGGAATGGGGGTGAGTGTGGGAGTGTGTGTGTGTGTGTGTGTGTGTGTGTGTGTGTGGGCGTGTGTGTGCGTGTGTGTGTGTGTGTGTGCATGCACACTCAGGTTCACAGCTTGCGCAAGTGCGGGAAACATGCATGTTCAGGGGCTGTACCCATCCGTATGCGTACACATATGTGCTCATCTATGGAAATATCCATGAACCTGTCCATTTGGGTGTGTGTGTGTGTGTGTGTGTGGGTGGGTGTGCACGTGGGAGTTGGGTGAAAGATCACACAACGTGACAGTTGTACTTGTGAACTGAAGTAATCTGTGCATATGTTAATGTGAGAGGTATATAAAGTGTGCACCTCTGGATGTGCATGTGTGTGTGCGTGTGTGTGTGTGTGGGTGTGTGTGCACACATTATTCATGTGTGTTGCGACCTCAGGCGTGTTACTGTGTGTGTCCATGTGTGTGTGCACACAGCCGAATAGACATGAGCGCATGCGCATGACTCACTGTGACAATAAATGGAAGTGACGAAGCCAGATTTTCAACTCTTGTTGCCCCACCGTGGGGCAGAATTAAGGCTGGGAGGATGGTGTGACAGGCCGACTGGCTGCCCGGTGAGCCCCGCTGAGGCCCAGAGCTATGGCACGCCATGTCGGCAGAGCTAGGGGGTCAGGGGCCAACTCTGGGCTTGCTCATTGGCTTAAAGGCCTCTGACACCATCACCAGTCTGGGACGATATGTAGAGAGCATGGCAGGTACTTCTGGTGGTCAGGAAAGAAAGCAGTGTGAGCTTAGGAGAGCCTTGAATGCAAGGATGTTCAGGGAGAATCGCATGAGGTCAGCCTTGCACACAGACAGAGATCAAACACGTGCATTTGGACATATATTTATTTATAACCAGCCTCTCCCTTCCTCTCTCTCACTCCCCCTCTGCCTCCCTCTCTCTCTCTTTCTCTCTCTCTCTGTCTCTCTCTCTCTGACACCCACCTAGGGTGAGATGCGGGGCATGAGTCATTGTGGATGGAGCCCTTAAACGTGTGTGTTGTGCGCATGTATGCGAGCGAATTAACGTGTGCACAGGTACAGGCTGTATCCGTACACATCCGAACGCGTGTCTTGCCGTGTGTGCGTGCATGCTGGTGTGTGTAGCGTGCATGCTGGTGTGTGTAGCGTGCATGCTGGTGTGTGTAGCGTGCATGCTGGTGTGTGTAGCGTGCCTCGTTCTCATGTTAGGGATCGTCTACGGTGAAATATGTGGTATGTATGTGGGTGACACAGTGTCCAGATCTCTTAAGGCAGAGCACAAGCTCCCGTCTTGTCACATTCCCCGGATTCAGTCGCTCTTCACACGCATCTCATTCCCACTTCCAGACGACAAATGCCCAGGCTGAAGAAACTGGTTACTGCTGTGTGTTACTATAGAAACTTTACAAGAGCCTCCTGCTTTCAAGAATATGCTAAATGCACAAGGACATTATATTATAAATACAGAATATGCCGAAAGACCTTGACGGAAAAGTAATTAGAATAACCATTTCAATTATCTCTATTTGAAATACTAACCATTTCTGACTGCATTAGCTAGTCTGGCCTAACTTGTCCACCATTGGTTCTGTCTGAAGGTGAATGGGCGGGATCTGCCTCAGGTCAGCCAATGGGAGGCTCTCCGGATCCTTGGTGCCTACGGGCAGCCGGTTGCCCTGCAGACAGAGGGGCAGACGAACATGTCAGACATTAGCACACAGACAGAAAGGCCGCGAGAGGCCCTCAGAAGCAGAGGAATCAACAGAGGCCCCACATCCAAGCCGCATACCTGTACTGACAGGTAGGGGGACTACAGCTGAGATTTCTTGGTTACATAACTACATTACAAATTACTTTAATCAACACCTCCTCAGTGCCTATATGTATGTGTCCAGCCCCTGACAAATTTCTAATTTAAACATGTTTCGTGAAACATTTTGCTAATGTTGTGGTACTGCAACCATTCTGTATCCTACCCAGGTCCCACTGCGGCCACATGACCCCATCGGGTGAGCCCTTCCTGCCCACTATCTCCCAGGAGATGGAAGCTGTGGACAGGCTAGCTTACAGGGTGAGTGCTTCCCGCTACGGACGCTCTTTTCACGTCTGGGTCAAAGGCTCAAATGCCTAGCAGTGGAGCTCTTTATAGCCTGGAGAGCTGTCACCAAGGTCACCATCAGTCTAGGGGTGTGGAACTCACCCTCACCCATTCTGACAGGCAGCAGCACTGGGGGTCACAGATATTCATTTTGGATCTAAAATTGAAAGCATGTGAACCAGCGGTAAAGGGTCGAACAGGCTCATTGGCTACAATTACAGCACGCGCTCTGTTGGCTTGGATACCGCTTTAGTGGTGGGGGGACTGTAGAATGGGTGGGAGACGCAGATGAGATTTGCCACCTTGGGTGGGGGGAATTCTGCCTCGGAAAGTTTCTGTTTTTGTTGCTATAATTTCATCGTCGAAAAAGAAAAGGGTGGCTCTTTTCTGAGAATTTTAACAATCTGTGCAAAAAGCATCGAGAGGGAAAAAGAGATACCTCACACCCCCCAAGGAATACTATTGCTGTGTTATTTGACAAACCCAGTGAAGTTGTGCTCAGATGTGCTATGCTCTCTGACCAATCAGCTCCAGGACCCCAATGCAACTAACACCGCCTCCAAGCGCCATAGCTGTCTGATTGGATGCTGCACTGCCAATCTGGAAGAGCCCATCCCATTCCGAAGCCAGGTAGGCACTGTACCTCCCTCTAGCCTGACGCCCAAGACAGCTATCGGACCTTCCCTGAGCGACAGGGGAAAGTTTATGAGAATTAATTTAATATTTACAAATTGGCCCAATCAGTGTTCTTTGCTGCAGCAGTGCTCTGATTGGCTAACACAGCTTGCATTTGTGTTGCAGACAGAGGAGCCTCCTTTTGGCCCCCAACTGCTGTTACATGAGCTGGACAGCGGTCTGGGCTGCACCGATGGCAGCTTCCACCAGGGGGAGCTATCCGGGGTGGAGACGGAAGAGGAGGAGGGAGCCGTGGAGGAGTGCACCAGCCGGGGTGGGTCCTCCTCCTCAGAGTCATTCATCTCCTCAGAGCTCAGCGACTCCGGCTTCTACAGTGTGGGCCCTGGTGAATTCCGCCGCTTTCAGAGGCTTCTGGAGAAGAAGATTCGGTTGTACCGTTCCAGGATGGCACCACATGGAAAGCCAGGCTCTAGGGAGAGACGGGCATCTCAGCGCAACCGCCGGGAGCTGGAATCCATCCCTGAAGCACTAACCTTCCAGCCCGTGGAAGCCTACCCACCCCCAGGACTTTCCTACAGGTGCACAGCTGAAGGACCCTTAGCCCAGGGTCGGAACTCCGAGAGCCACAGCCCCAGGATGGACGCCTTGCATTACCCAGTGGCGGCTCCCCCTGTCTGTAGGACTTCCTGCCAGCAGAGGGTGCTACTGCACCCGCACGCATCCAGGGGGGTTCTGAGGAGAAGCTGCACACTGCACCGTTGCCCCCCTCAGGTGATGGACAGGAGGCGGGCAAGCCACCCCACGTCCACTAGCTACTGTAGTGCCACCATGCACCCGAGTCTCCGGTTCAGCACCGACCTCTCCCAGGAGACAGATCTGGACCACAGAGTTTCTCCACAGCGAGACGAGGTCCGGCGGGGGTACTTGCCCGGAGGGGGGTATAGTGGTAGCACTGCCCCTCAGCCAAGCGGCACCGAGGCACCAGCCGGTACCCGGGCCAGAGCCAGGGAGGACCAGCGGCAGGACCACTGGTTTCACACTCTGGGTCATTCGCAGGACATCCACGACACGTGGCCCAAGTCAGCGGGCCGCGGCAGCCTGAGACCCGGGCTGTACAGCACCCTGGACAGCCACGCCCCCGGCGTGCCAAGGGCCACCCCCACAAACCCCAGGGCGCAACGGAACCAGCTGCTGCGGGAGCGGGCTCTGCGGCTGGCAGATGAGCGTGGCGGCGTCACCACTGACGAGGAGACGGAGTCCAAGGTGGGCCGCTACTGGAGTCGCACAGAGCGGAGACAGCAGCTGCAGCTGGCCCGCGAGCAGCGGCTGCAAGCCCTGGCGCGTGGGGAGGCGGGGCCCAGCGACGGGGGGCCCCGGCCCACAACCGTTCTGGAGCTCAGCCATCGCAAGCTCAGCCGGCTGCGTAACCGCAAGCTGCTAGACGACTGGACCACAGTGGAGGAGCTGCTGACCCACGGAACCAGGCTGAGCAGCCGGGACGGAGTGCGCTGCCCCGGCTCCCTGCTGTCCGTCACCACGGTCTAGCCCCCCTGGCATTGAGCCCAACCTTGTGTTGCTTATGCGTCGACCGCAGAAATAAAAGCACACTGGATATTTCGGCGCTGCGCGCTACACACTAATGGCGGAGCACGTTTACTTCTAGGTGCGTAACGAGGAACAGGATGCGCGAGGGACCTGAGGTTCAGATCTTATTGCCTCAAAGCGTGAGTGCGTCTTGTTGTCAAGACCTCTGAGGCCAACAGTCTGTGAGAGGGTTGGCCAAGCTGGGTGTTTTGAGACAGTTTTTATTCTCATGTCAGTTATATTGCAGTTTAGGGATTTTTTTGTGACCTGTGCTCAGTGGCCAGTTTGTTATATACACCTAGTAAGTACAGGGTAGAGCCCACTTTTGCATCCAGAACCACTTTAAGGGTAAACAAGAACATTTAGAGATGCAATTCTGCACACTGCAGCTCTAATGAGCCGTTATTTTTGCTTGTGGCCATCCTGTTAGCTTTGACGTGTCATTCTCCTCTGACCACTCACATTTACAACGTGTTTTGGAGACAGACACACCATTGACTGGATATTTTTATCATACTATTTCCTATAAACTCCAGACACTAGTGTGCAAAAATCCCAAAATGGTGGCTGTTTCTGTGATGCTTGAACCAACAATCACACCACAATGAAAATCACCCAGATCATGCATCTTTGCCATTGTAATGATTAGCCATATTTAATCTTTTGACCCTGTCGGTGCTGTATGTCTTCAGCAACCCCATGACTGGCTGTTAAAGCAGAACGTTAGTATTAACAGGCAGGTGCATCTAATGAACTGGCCATTGATAGTATGCAGAAATGTTTCCTGCATTTTCCTACGTTTGTCGTTTTAAACAAGAGGAGACCAACCCTTTGTACCTATATCCTGTTGACGGTGGTTGTTCGTATATTTTTCTTCTTCTTCATATGTTCATAAGTCACTTTCTTTAGCAAGAAGGCATTCAGTAACTTTGTTTTTATTACACTACAATTATTTAAACTCAATGTTACTTAAATGACAATTCACCCAATCTGAACGTCGGGGCAACGGTTGCGTGTGTTTGGAGCTGCACCGGCTGCTGATGTCATCACTGGGAGACGACTGTTAATTCATTGTCAGCCCGACTCTAATGTTCCCTGGGGGGCGCTGAGGAGCTGGGGCGTGGCAGCCCAGAGGCCCGCCTTTGGCCAGGCATATCGGGAGGATGCCAATTTGGCGTGCAGCAGGAAAACCCGGGACCTCCCACCGCGGGGAACGCTGGTCCACGGCGTGTGGGAGACGTGGCGATGGAGCGCAGCACTCTCCGTGAGAGCGACACCGTGCCAGCATTCGCCCGCCACCTACTGGACAGTCCGCGCATCGCAAGTTACATAACTGAATGACTGGAGATACGGATGAAGCCATCTCCGCCGAGCGGTGTGAACGCAACAGGAGGAGGACATGCGAGCTGAGTACAGCCCAGCTTTCCCTTTGCCTCCTTCATCTGCGGCGTGAGTCAGGTCGCTGAGCTCTGCACGGATACAGACCGGGCGGCTCTGTGGCACTCGCCCGTTACTGCCGCCAGCCAGCGTTTCACATTGTCACTGCGATCTGCCTCATCTTCGGGCGCTGTGACTAACTGAGCCCCTCCCTCAAAGGACAACGTCCCCCTCTGCTGTAAAAAAAAAAGCAAAAAACAAACAAAAAAAGACTTAAGCTATTTTCTCTCTGCTATCTAGAATTTTCATCAAAACATTGTATATGTGGATGTAATAAAAGGTGAAATGGCGACACCAGCAAATGTGACGCGTGACGGTGGCATTTTCTGCGACTGAGACTAGGGTCTTCCCAGTTCAGGGGGCATCCTCTCCTCTGCTGGTTCTCTAGATGTGATCGTGACAGGGAGGCACCTGCACATTTACAAGTTGTAGCAGGTGCGGTGTACCTTCCCTCTGACATTATTCTCATCCTTTGGGTCGATCCTCTTTCACTGCAGAGAAGCCTTTCGTTGATTTTCACTTGCAGCTTTCTCCTGCTGAAGGCCCCGCAGCCCTCTACTGCTGCAAAATTCACAGCTATATCAGGGAAACAAATGCACACTGCCATATTTAGAACAGGCATCTCAGAGCAACTCAGGTGAGTGACATTTCCATTGACGTACTGCTGCCCGATTACCAGGTATAAAATAGTTACAAAACACCACCACTAAGCACACACGTTAAGCGCATAAATTACTTGATAACACGTACATGTTTTTGGCAGACCTGCAAGTACATTCGAGTCGATTTGGTTTTTAGTACAAAAAGTACACAAAAATAGCTTCGCATGGGAAAGTAGTATCGTTTTGACAGCATTCTGCTGCCCCCTAGTGTTCGTAATCTATTCGGTTCATTAATTGAAACATAACCGCAGTTGCGTAACCGAATGTAGCAAATGCGCCTTAAGCAGCTTAGTCCGTTTCTTCGCTTTTCTTACATGGACAATATTTATATTTACATTTGAATGATTTTCATTAGATTTTCATTAAATACGATCTTAATAAAGGCTAGTATTTTATACCAGGAGTTTGTGGGATTATCCTTCACCTATAAAAATGTAGCTTTTATCTTACAGACATCTCAGTTATTGTGTGTATACATGTGTCTGTTTGTGTGTATGTATAAGAAATATATAATTTGATCATTAATTAGAAATCAGTTTTCACAAACATGGATTGGGTTGTGACACTTTTTTCAAATGTAACTAAAATTCTTTAAATGCATTGTGAATAACTGAAACATACAGAAATCATTCACAGCACCCACTAGGATTGTGTCTGACTTACTGCTGGCAATGCAAACCAAACTCTTGCTCTGGTTATATAGGAACCTAATGGCCCAATGACCCTGCAACCCATACTCCTAAAGCACCCCCTCTGGACCCCTGAGGGACAAAGAGTTTGGTTCTAAGTCCACAAAACACATGTAGACTGGCTGGATAGACTCCCACAAACCCTCCAAAACCATTGTGAGGGTAAAGAGTTGGTCCAGTGTTCCATGACCAGGACGGAATCCGCATTGCTCCTCCTCGATCTGAAATCTTGGTCTGGATTTTTATGTCTTGGACCTGAGCTATAAATCCACCTCCTTTGTGATCATAACAAGATTTCTCCGTAGGAAAGCCAGGTTCACTCGCCATGAAAGGGCGCAGAGACCCGAAATACAAAAGGACCTCAAATTAGAGCCACTGCTGAAGGTAGGTTGGGTATCTTATAAGGAATCCACCTACTCAGCTCCCAAGACCCCCGTCCTCCCAGGTACCTCTCGTTGGGCAGAGGCTCAGGGGAACATCCAGGACATCCAGGATTTACTGCCAGCTGGCTGGGGAATGTCTGCAGATCCCCCAAAATGAGCTGGACGCAGGTCTGGTCTGACTAGATTAACATGCTGCCATTGGAACCATTACAAGGAAGAACGGCGTAAAGAAGATGAAGATGGCAAAACACAGAGCCCCCAACACCCCTGTGCATCCAAGAGGATCTGTACAGCAACTAATGGACAGAGTCTCATTATTCCTTAAAATGAACTGTAACTGTTGCTTCTAAACAAGCCTCTGCTGTCTCAGAGTGTAATATCTGTGATGCCTGTGCTGTTCGCCACCTGTGCAAAAACACAGCCAGCAGCTTGGAAACTTGGTGCATCCATGCTGATGAATTAAACATGAGTCGCCCCCCCCCCCGGAGGCTGGAGAGGGACCAACCAAAGCTGTTAGTTGATATGTGAGGTGCCCCACATCTCTCTCCAATGTTCTGGACTGGCCGTCTAGCTGTCTGGCCGTCTGACTGTCTGGCTGTACCCAGCTACCTGTATTCAGCACCCATCACTGGCCAGTGCATTTGCCTTACCATCTGCACTGACGGATGGTCTGACACCCTCCTGGGAGGTCAGGCAGATGGTGCGAGGCACCTACAGCAGGAAAATGCGAAAGCTGTGAACTTCTGCACCAAGGGTTTTCAACATTTCACTAATTTTCAGTTTTTTGTGACCTATTTAAAGCATAAAAGTATTTTGTGTCCATATGTTCTGTAATTTAAGCAGCAGACACTACATATGACTATGCAAAAAGCTGTGAATTTCTTGAAACTTTTTTTTGTGAATTAGAGACATTCTAGTGTCCTTTATATTTATGAAGTAAAATTTTACCTAATGCTCAAGCAGATCAGAATTTTATATAGCAGTAAAATGTTATTTTTACAATTATAACTGCATGTGTGTGTGTGTGTTGTGTTACTAAACCCATTTATCTCACTTTTATAGATATTAGAAAATATATCCTATGAATGCTGTTCCCCCTTTCATACACATGATTGACAATAATGTAAATTAGCTGACTTTAATATAACTAGCCGGTGTTAACTGCTTAACATATGATTATGTGTGGATGTGTGCTCTGTCATTGATTGACATCCCATCCAGAGTTGTGCCCTGTGCTTGTGGCGACCAAAGTATTGGTGACCCTACCCAGGATAAGTGAATATGGAAGATGGACGAATTACAACATGCTCATGTGGTTTAATTTTGAAAGGGGAGTCATGTATCTTTTTTTTTATTAACTTTTGAGAACTTAGACTATTACAGGGGCAGAAAGGTCAAGATCATAATGTATCTTATGAAGTAAAACCCTTTTTAATAGAAAGTAGCAGCATTGGTATGAGCACTCGCTGACCCTGAACCTTGACCTACTGCCAAGGCATATTGAACCAACTTCCAGAGGATTCAGATGAACAGCAGCTCCCTTCTGGTCAATCCTGCAGGTCTCAGTTGCCATCTTTTGTCCACCTTCTACTTGAAGCTCACTGATCTGAGGATATATGTTACTCACAAGTCGTCATTCTTATACCTTCGACACAATGCAATGGGAATTGGAATAATGTACCTTTAACCATTAGAACCCCTGCTGGGTAACAATAATACTCCATAGGTCCAGTGTGTTCATCATCATCATCATCATCATCATCATCTGACCAAGGTGGAATACTGCAAAATCTTTTCAAACAACTCTGCAATCAGGAATTATCGATAACGGTTGAGGCCTCGATAAGCTTGGTGTAATTATGATGGATTTTTTTGGATGAATTCATCAATCATCAGTACTAGGAATAGCATACAAGGGAATATGATCTGAAATTTCCAGATATGAACCCAACTAAAGAACAAACAAGAACTACATAGATTGACTGTGATACAAAAGTTTTGCCCTCTCAGATTTAACTGGTCTTGGAAACTTCATCCAGGCTGCAGCGATTCTAAGCAGTCAGGCATCTCACCATGGTGACACTGCACTCAGCGGCACTGCGCTATCAAGTACTCAGTCGGACATTACAGTTTTATGTTCACACCCCTGCTTCTGGGGATTTTTCCAGTCTGGTGTCAACTTACCATCCAATTAACTTTTTCCTCTGAAGTTTGTCCTCCTCCACTGATGAAAGTAACGACTCAAGACCAAGTGCATGGACACGGGACGACGTGACCATTTGACCCACCGCATGCCATGAAAAGTACAACACAGGGATGTCATCGAAAGAAAGACATAAGATGACTGACAGACACCGACGAGTGATGACAAATGAGGCACTGAGGGGGTTTTTTAAACTCTCTGAGCAAGTGTGCATCTATTATTCCATAACAAGACCAATGCCAAAATGTATATCAAAGATGTTAAAACAGCCAAATCAGCCTTCTACTTGAGCTCTGCATTCCCAGATAAACTTTTCCCCAATTCCAGTCCCAGAGGGCAGAATCCAACACAGTCTGCAGATTTCTCTGCAGAAACATCTTAATCAACTAATTACCAGATGTAGTAGGTGTGTTTGAACAGGGAAATCTGCAGACTGTGCTGGATTCTGCCCCCCCAGGACTGGAAATGTGGAACCCTAATTTAGGCGCCCAAATATGCTCCTTGCGGTTGATGGCACCTCAGCATTTGAAGTAATTAACAGGTAACCTTCTTAACACAAGCCCCACTGGGACATCTGTCTGATCAATCAGGCAAATGGGTCTGTTATTTGGCAACATTGCAACTCAGGAGTAATAAACAAACATGCACCTGCACCAAAACAGCTGTGGGACTTTATTGCAGTAGGAATAACAATATACAAAATTAACTGGTCTTCAGCCGCATTACAGCCAGCAGAGACCATTAACATATAGTTACGCACACGTAAGTGTTCTAGCCCTTGACAAATCAGCTTAAGTAAATAGGCTTTTATGCGATACAGGACAGAAAATTTCAGTTTGTCTCCAGAAAACAAAACAAGGTGACTGAGGAATACTAACAACTACATACAGCAGAGTGACAGCAGTAAGAATGACCTGAGATAAGGCTTGGTAGGACACACACCTCTGACATGGAGAAAGACAGCTTTACAATCATCACCGTGGGATTCGACTACACTTCCCAGTAAGAGGAAGCCAGACAGTTTTAAACCTGCTTCAACCTGGCAAATCTCATTCAGTTTCAGAATGGCTGCACAGATGGTCTTAAGTCTTTTTTGAGAGTTTCGACTCAGGACATGTTGAAGTTCCGACCCTCCTTACTCTGCCTTGTCCTTCTGCTTCCCCGTGGTGAGAACTTTACTGGCTACTGTGGAACTCACTGTGGACACACCCCCAGTCACTGCAGACACGCCCACCTTGACGAGGCCAACGCCCACAGCTGGGACAGCGCCCACTGCAGTCTTTGTGATCTCCAGGCCTTTGCCACCCAGCCAGGCCACACTGCCAACTGTGGCACCTACCACCCCCTTGGTGGCACTGAAGAGGCCACCGGTCACTCGCCAAATCATGCCAGGAGGTGGGGAAGGGTGCTCTTTACTGCCATCTGTGTGTAGGAACAGGCACAGACAGGGATTACCTCATCGTCACTAAAGCAAATAATCTTCTCTTCAATGACCTGCCATACACAAACAGACACCATTAGCATTCAGTTTTCTAATGGCGCTACGACCAATCTCACAGAAAGCGGGAACACAAAACTACACATTAAGTAAAAAGTATTCTTAGAGAGCAGGTGCCAAGTAATTATTGGCTTCCCACAGAAGTTTTTTCCCAGAAAAATGTAAAATATTACTCCAGAATACTCCAGAAACCAACACACAGGTTTCAGAAGAAATGTGTACCCTGAAGTAAAAATCCCATGATGGGTGGATGCATACACTTTTACTGTATTTCATTGTCTTATATCTATATTTGTACAAATACTATACATTTCTTTGCAGTTTTGTTTTTTCTGCATGTCTGTTCTGTGCAAGTACATAGAGAGCAACGAAAAAACACTGGAGACAAGTTCCTTGTATGTGGCAACATACTTGGCCAGTAAAGCTGATTCTGATTCTTATAAAAACAATTTTTTGTTGTACTTTGTCAGGATGGCCACTAGGTGGTATTCGTTTGTTGACACTAAAGAAGGATTAGTGAGCTCTCACCCCCAGCGCGTCCGTCGGCATCGAAGTCGGGTTGTGGTTCTTCGTAACAACCTCCTTGAATAATCTCGTTGTTCACATTCTGATGGGGTGAAAAAGCACCAGATATTACTACATGTATTAATAAAGATACAGAATGAGGAATCAATAATATTTCGAACAATGAACTCAGCCATGACTGCATTTCTGATAAAACATACTGAAGAGGAAGACATGGCTTTAATTAATTATATTTAAATATAATTAACCAGTAAAATGGGCAGTTTGATATTACCTTAAGACCCTATTCAATTAACACCGCCTGCGTTGCGTGTACTTGAACTACGCTTCTGATCTAATATCTGACAATTATGAATGCAAATATTTAAAAACTCTTCGCAAGGATTAGGTGCTGCCTGTCTCTTTAAAGGATTAAACCTTTACATTACATTTATTTACGATTACATTTATTCCGTATATTTTTAATACTGACAGGAATGCTCCCAGGCAAAGAGCTATAAGGATCACATTACTCTGAAATGTGCTTTTGCAAAATGAAAAGCAAGCATATATATTTCATTTTCATTCCAGAAGATTTGGATGGATCGATAACCAGAAGGTTTTCGTACAAACTGTTTTATTAAACGTGTGCGTGGAATTGTATTTTTTCGGGGGGGGAAATAAGCAACCATGTATGTGTATGAGCACAGAGTGCTTATTAAAGTTAACAACAATTAAAGGCATTCATTTATTTCAACGATGCACGTCAATCAATAAACCGACCACAATTAATTTTAATTTAATAGTTGCACAACTGTGTTTGATAAGTTCGCGAAAGCAAAACAAAGTTCTTACCTTCACCATGATTTCCAGAACGTTCCCAGTAGCTGCGGCGCTGTGCTCCAAACACACCTGAGTGCGATAATCTAAGATCGTCTCCTTGGCAGTTCAGATCCCAGCGGTCCGGCGTGGATTGGCTCGCCACTCGGCTCGGTTCCGCTCCCCTTGGCTACCAGCTTATTATAGGCGTACAATCATAACCCAAAGTGCGGGATTCGGGCACTGCGATCGCCAAGGCTGCACTTCTGCCTCCGGATCTTGCGTCACCCACGATTTGCTGGAAGGGGGGATATTGTTTTGTACTCGAGTGTGATTATTTTTTATTATATTTTTACAAGGAATACAAGTACCTGACACAATCATATAACAGTAATCGCTATCATTTAACAACGTGTAACAAAAATTCCAATAATAATAATGTAAGTATATATATACGTCCATGGACTACAGTACATACATTAAATGCATTCAGTTCTTACCAGTGCATGAGTGTGATGGTCTGAAGGCAGATGACTATTGCGTCATGCTTTATACTTAAATGCGGCTTCGATGTTTTTGCGGCGAAACGTGATGCGCTCCACTTTGCCCTTGAACTTAAATGACTAAGGAAGTCAGAAACAATGGTGCTGCGTTCAGTCAAACTCTGCGATCTCTATTGAACTTTGTTCTTGCACAGAAAACATTCGACTGTGTTAAAGATCTGAGCCGAGTATTTGTGATTCAAGATGTCTGTCTTAACTTAATTCCTCACAAAAGAGGAGCAGATGCTCTAGCTCGTGAATCCAGACGATACAAACGATACTCATTCACCGTTTAAATCTGCACAGCAGACGTCACTTTCGTCATACATCAGTTTTTGCTGATTGCGCTGCTTTAGTATTGCCATCTGTATGTCCGCCTTATCTCTATAGCATTATTGCAGATCACCGAGGTTCTTCTTATTCCATGCCTGGGGGGTATTTGTGCTTGGGACAAACATCACCTAAGGGCATCTTTGAACCTTAGGTTCGCTGTCTGACCCGCATGACCATCACATAGTGCCTGAAGAGACCTATCATTTAGCTCAGCATACGTTTCCACAGATTAACATCCCTGATATAGAGATTCTGCAGGCCGTGGACCATCAAGGATGTTTTCCAACAGGAAATGATCTTTGGTGGTTTACCTAAACGAGCAAAACCGCAGTTTATACAGCATTATAATAAATTCTGTGAGACAGGTCAGAAACTAAACACTCACAGTTTAACGATGACCTGTTGGGAAGTTTAAGATTGCATGGATTGCGGACTGTTTACATTGACAGCGTTAGCATGGTGTAGCTGTTATGACTGTGTCTGTCTGATAGAGGGAGCCATGGAGCCTTACGCCTCATCACAGGACACCGTAATTTGTGTGCGCGGTGTTTATTGTATAAATAAGGCTGCACAATACCAATTATAAGTACCGTAACAAAGTGTGTTTTTACAACAGGGGCCTCCATAGATATATATGCTACTTGGGTCTGAAATAAATAAATATGTTATTATTACTATTACTATTATTTACATTTATATACTGTATGTGGGCTAAAAGTTTGTCCCCCAGTTGAAATGATCTAAAACTGCCGCTGTTTTTCAATAAATGTTTCTTGAATCCTGCATTCCTTAAGTCAACATGAATTGGTTATGAGGACATGCTTCCTTCCCCATGTTCTCAGGAGCCGTGCCAGCTCTGACCACACCCCTGGAAGACACCTATCAGTCTTGTTCACTGGATGCCTTTGTTCATCGTAGTTACAAATATAAATTTCACACATACTGGAGCTAAAACCGCTATTAGCCATGGTGGCTGCTGCCTGCACTGGGTCTCTCAGGAATGAGGGGAAAGCGGCAAAGCTCTGGTCGATCCGGGTGAAGCCGGTTTGGGCCTGGGAGGAGGAGGTGGTACAGGAGGTGAGAGGAGGGTTGGGGAGTCAAAGGACAGACACCCAACAGCCAAAAAAGAAAAGATTTTATCGACTGGTTGTTTTCTTGACAGTCGTTGGGTCCAGCTTCGGAAAGTTCAGCCATCCATACCGTGCACAAACAGAGAGACAGTTTAGATGATTAGAGCAACAGATAGATAGGTTAGGTGATAGATTAGGCTGACAGGCTGAGGCCAGTAGGGCAGTGAGTTGGGGATGATACAGAGTTTGGGGACGGCAGGAGAATAAAAGCACAGGGACACATCTGTGGCTTCAGCCAGGTTTGAATTTCTGCCTCTGTCTTATCGGTGTGACTTTAATCTTTATCTGCTACCCTGTAGCATGTGACTCTCACAAATTTCTTCCTCGCCGTCGTCCACAGGAGTTGGGTGCTTTGTGGGGGAACGTGAAACAAGTAATCGATCCCTCAGTTCAACTCGAACTTGAATCCCCACTGGGATATTATTTAGCACAGTGTGGCCACTGGGGGGCCCTGCAGCACATAGAGCAGGGGTGCCCAATCTTATCCGCAAAGGGCCGGTGTGTATGTGGGTTTTTGGGATAACCTGTAGGTCAGCTGTTCAAACCCAGGTGTGAGGACTCTTCAGCCAATCAGTCCTCTAATTAGTAATCTAATTAGGGAGTTGCAGTGAAAACCCGCATACACACCGGCCCTTTGCGGATAAGATTGGGCATCCCTGACATAGAGGTACGAGCCCAGCCACCATTGCAGGTCCTGCAGGCTCTGCAGTAGGAAGCAGCAGAGCAGTGCAAGTCAGACCCTCCAGGAAGGGCCGGTCTAGCACATACACAGGGAGCACTGCAGATAAAAGCCAGTGCCACCACCAAGATGTTGTCATGGAGACGCCACCCCTTCTAGAACAGGTCCAATAACTGCCCATGGCAGCCCATGCCACCTATACCTACATACAAGAGCTGTACAATTCTGGGTAAAATATGAATCGAGATTTTTTCCACTTTGAATCACGATCACAGTTTTCCCTCATGATTTTTAAACATTTATCTCATTCACTATTATTATTATTATTATTATTATGCATTACATATTGTCTTTTATTATATTGTCCATAGTGATGAATGAGGGATTTCGTTGGCTCATTTACCACTTGCATGAGATCTCGAAGTACCGGCCTGAGAAATGTTCAGAATTCATTATTAAATCTGCCTTGCAAATTGATCTTCCGTTTTCTACAGAAATCAAAAACAATGTAACATCCTGCTAATCTGCACCTGCAAGCTGAGCAAGTTAATCGGTATTGGCCAAAATGTACGTATCGGTACATCGCTAGCAATGTGATTACTACTGAAATGGCATTGGTACGGTAACTTTGCAGAACAGAACGGGCACATTCCTGGTTTTCAACAAACAACTCATTTAACAATGCAAGAAATTGAAACCTTGTAGGCTCACTTGTTTATCTGCACCCTCTTCCTCTATGGTGGTGTAACGCAGTCCTATCATTTGTCGATACGGCTTAACGAGAAAAGGGGAGCGCTTGGTTTGATGGCAACAGACCTCCCCGCTAATGCAAACACAGCAGAATCGTTGTCATGTAAGAATCAGAATCAGGATCGCAATTCAAAAACGATTAATCATGCAGCCCAATAGCCTTCAGGTATGAATCGAGATTGTGATTTAAAAATGATTAATGATGCAGTTGCTTAGGGTCCAAACTGCAGAAGGATGCCAATCTAGCCAGTTAATTTCACTATGTCTTGTATACTTGTGTTTTCTTTTGATCAGAGAAGTGCTATCTAGACATCAAAGACAACATCAAGTTCTGTAGTGGTCAGAAATGCCAGTGGTGTAGCTGGTTTACAGCAGGCTTGGACCGGCTCTGCTACCTTGAAAAGAGATTAGGACCACCAACCCACAAAAACCATGAACTGTCATTATTTTTAGACTTACACTATCACACCTGATTGAGCTAATTGTGACACTGGAAGTAGGTCACTTTATCCAAGTAAGTAGGTCAGGCCCTCCGTCGACGATGTGCGCACTAACATGCCACCCTATGAGAGGAGCCACTCTAGGCTGACATTAACGATCTGTGATGTAATAAAATGAATTATATAACGTCATGCGTTGTTCCCCACATTCGGCCTCCAAGGCAACTCTTGCGCATGTAAATTCCGAGTATTTGTTCATCTGCAGTGATATTATTTATTCTGATATTTATTGTCAACCACTGTACGTATTGTTTTATATTTATTTGGCGCTACTGTCTGTAGGAAGTAAGCAAAAATGTTGTTGTACTATGCAGAGGCACTTTCAGGATTGTACCTCGGCATATGCACCACCCAAACACACACACACACACACACACACACATACACACACACACACACTCTCTTAGCTGTCCATCGTGTCCGATGACGACGCTTGCTCCCGGGGGAAGGGAGGGGGGGGAAGGAGGAGTCAACGCCGTTGACGTTGGTGCCACTTCATATGGCTGTGAAGGCCAATGCGGGAGCCACACACTCGCTTGCAAATGGGGCAAATGTGTCCTGATGTTGGAGTGATTCCGGCTGCCCGCTGGTGTCGTTGGGCACATCTCTCGGCCCTTCTTTTAAAGAAGATGTCGCTGATTTGTTCAGTTGCCTTGTTATCAAACACCCTTTTACGAAGTTGCCCGAATGCTGATGCGGCATTGTTGACGCTGTGATTAATTTCCATGTCAAGAGAACAGTCTGATGTAAGTGTAGAACCAAGGTAGGTAAATTGGTGAGCAAGGTTGAGAGGGCTCCCATTAATACAAAAAAATGATGGTGAGGGGAGTTGGGTGGAGAGCTGAGCCATGACCTCAGTTTTCTTGACATTGATGTGGAGACTGAAAGACTGATATAGGCTGGGGATGGTATCTAGAGCATGCTGCATGCAGTTTGGGCTGTGTGCCAAGACAGCACAGTCATCAGCATATTGGAGCTCATAGATTTGACAGGTTTTTGTTTTTGTGTGGGCCAGGAGTCGCCGGATGTTGAATAGGCTGCCATCAAGGCGGTATTCCAGGTGAACGCCATCGCTGTGTTTCATGGCATGGTGAAAGAGGAAGGTGATTGCTGAGAGGAGGAGGTTGAACAGGACTGGGGCCAGGACACATCCCTGCTTCACCCCTACGTTTACCTTGAAGGGCTCTGACTGGAGTCCTCCCATAAGAACTCTGGCTTGCATCCCATGGTGCAGTTGCTGCAGGATGGATAGAAACTTGGGTGGTATACCAAGTTTATGGAGCTGTTTCCAGAGCAGCTCACGGCTTATGGTATCAAAAGCTTTGCTGAGGTCAATAAATGCTATGTAGAGGTCTCTATGCTGCTCTCTACTCTTCTCAAGCAACTGCCGCAGAACAAAGATCATGTCGATAGTGGATCTGGACTTCCGGAAGCCACACTGCGTTTCAGGAAGAGTAAATTCTGAGATGTATTCCACCAGTCGGTTGAGCATGATCTTTGCTAGTACTTTTCCAGCGGTCGAAAGAAGCGAGATTCCCCTACTCTTGCCACAGTCTGCTTGATCCCCTTTTTGCTTATAGAGGACAACAATGTTAGCATCCTTCCAGTCCTGAGGGACTTTCTCGCACTTCCAGATATGAGTAATCAGGAGGTGCAGACGGCGTGTAAGGACATAACCTCCGTGTTTAAGAACCTCAGCCGGAATGGCATCAGGTCCTGGGGCTTTGTTGTTCTTTAGGGCCCTGATGGCCTGTTGGGTTTCAGAGAAGTATGGTAAGGTATCCAGTTGTGGCATTTGTGGTAGGTCTGGCAGTTTATCAAGAATGTTTAAATCAGCTCGGTTAGTATAATTAAGAATCGTTCTGAAGTGATTTGCCCATCGCTCAATGATTTCTTGCCGGTCCTTGAGGAGGTTGTTTCCATCTTCAGATCGAACAGGGGTAAAAATCTTCCTCCTGGGACCGTATAAGGTTTTAATGGCATCATAGAAGCTCTGGGTATTATTGCAGTCAGCAAAATGCTGGATTTCTCCCGCTTTTTCCATCCACCAGCTGTCTTCCATGGTCCGAAGAGCCTGTTGAATTATAGCTCTGGTCTTGGTGATGCGTGATTTTAAACTGAGTGATCCTGGGTTGGAAAGGAGAGCTTTGTGGGCATTATGCTTCTCTTCTAAAAAAGATTGGATTTGCGCAGAATTACTGTCAAACCAGTCCTGGTGACATTTTTTTCTTGTACCAAGGGCTTCTGAGGCTGCAGAATGGATGGCTGCAGAGAGAGCTGGCCAGTCATTGGCATCCCCCTGTAACTGGGCAAGGCTACATGTGAGGAGTCTGCGGAGAGAGTGCCTACGGTGTTGGGATTGCCTAGTGCTGCACAATTAAGTCTTTGTCACACACACACACACACACACATAAACACACACACGC